TCCCGCCCCGGCCCTTCCCCTGCCGCCGCTCGCCCACGGACTCCGATGTGTCCCTCGACTCCGAGGACTCCGGAGCCAAGTCGCCGGGCATCCTCGGCTACAACATCTGCCCTCGCGGCTGGAACGGCAGCCTGAGGCTCAAGCGAGGCAGCCTCCCGGCCGAGGCCTCCTGCACCTCCTAAAGCCCGCTCCTCCCCACCCACCTACCCTCGACAGCCCAGCCAGGAGGGTCCGTGGGCTCGGGTGACGTTGGCAACAAGTCCCAAGGGGTTTGGTCTCTTTACACAGCCATAAAGATAAGGGAAGGAGAGCTCTGGGCTTGCGGTGGAGCAGTAGGCTGGGTTTGGGGTTTCGCCCCCCTCCACCCCCCCCCTGTCATCCAGCTGTTCTGGCCCTGGGAAAAACCTTCTGTCTGACCTACAGCTTATCCATCTGTTTAATGGGACCGTGGTCAAGGCAGTCTCCAAACTTCTATATTTCTCCTCCCATCTACAAAAGCACATACACACACGCACACACATCAACATGCCTTGGAAGAGGCAGGCGTTATGTATATGCACCCCTGGACTTGCTGCATTCCAGGGTTCCAGCCTCTCCCCTCCAACCTCTGCTCTCTGGAGTTTGGCAAGTAAGGGGTGTGTTCAGAAATCCCAGGCCTAAGTCCTTGTCCAGGTCCTGGCTTGACCATCCGCCTCCCTGGCACTAAGTCCTGGGCAGGAGCAGTTGTTTTCCACCCCTTTCCAAACAAGATCTATTTTTACCACAGTGACCTTTAGAGAGGTCTCCCAGGCCAGCCCAAGGTGCCCTGCTGGCCCCTTCAGAGAAAAGCATAAGATTCCTCTTCCCAGAGCCCTCTTCATGCCTTTGGCCACCCCAGCTCAGACCATCCAAGACATCTCATCTACAGCCAGAGAAGAAAGCTGCAAGATACCCCCAGGCCCAGGCTTGGGCCTTCAGAAAAGCTCTAGGTGCATTCAACCCAATCTGCTCTTTCTGGGCCCTTTCTTGCCTCTAGCCTTCTTAGAATTCAGTGCTGGCCCTTTCAAAGCTGAGTGGAGGAGAAAGGAGTTGATCTGGAGCTATCATGTGGCTTTGCCTGATGACCCTGAGCTTGAGGTTGTTCGTTTGCAAGGAGGAAGGCAAAGTGTTCCTTTTCAGGGGAATTAAGTGGAGAGTGGCCAGGATGCATAGAGGAGATTCTAGTAGGGCAGGGACAAGCTTAGATGACCTCTGAGCGTCCTTCCAGTCCTTAAATGGATTTCATGGCATTAGGAAAGGAGGGAGGTAACAGTGGAGTGTTGGGTGGGCAGATGAGCTTGGCAGGTGATAGAAGCGTCTGGCCGTGTTTCTGCTTCCTCAAGAAGTACCCCATTCTTCAGTTTCATATCCCAGCGAATGTCCATATCATGCCCAGATGAGAGGACACTGACTTGTCCCATCTCCCTCTGCACACGCTCTGGCCTAGCTAGTGCCTGGCGCCCCTTAAGCCTTGGTGGCTCTGATTCAACCCCAGGACAGACATGGGCAGGAATGGAGCTGAGTTCTATAGTACCCAGAATTGACTGGTACCGTCTAGAGGTTCAGAATATCAGCTTTAGGATACTGGGTGGAGGGACTTGGAATTGCCCAAGGATCAAAGATGTATAGGGAAAAAAGCATACCAGGATGTTGCTAAAGGTGAGGAACAGAGTGTGATTTGGAGTTAGAGCTAGATTGCCCCATGCATCTAAGTGATATGAAGCCTGGAACATTAATTGAGGCCGGGGAAAGCTGAGATAAGGATGATAAGGAGATAAGGAGAGTCTGGGGTGCTTTGGAACAAAGTATACCTAAAGCCTAAGGACTGGGGGTATAGGCTCTGTTGTGTCAACACAAGAGGGCACTCACTACTGCTTAGTCAAGGGTGAGTGACCACATTAAACCAGGGTCCCATCTGCTTCTGTCCCTTGCAGCTGAGGAGATGGGAGCTAAGGGGCTTCTTCTAGAGAAGACCTGCTGTCTGGCATCTGGTGATGCAATGGCTTTAGAAAATCCACTTCTACCTGCATTTCCCCTAAAACGCCAGCAGGAGGCAGCCTTGAGCAGCTGCCATACTAGCTGGCTAGTCTTTTCAGGCCACAAAGCCTTCTACCTCCTCACCACCCCTGTCCCCTTCCCAGTTCATGAAGCTTGCTTTTGTACTGTCTCTAGCCTTCTGTAGAATTCAGCTCTGGCCCTCAATAAATGCTTTCTGCATCCTTCTGCCTTCCTGTGTGATTTTCAGCTGTGTGTAAAGCCTTCCTCTTTCCCCAATCATGGGATAGTCCATGGAATTGGGGTGAATGTGCATATTTGAGATACATGAGATGGGAACCTAGGAAGCAGTAACCTGTGAGGGGAGATCGGGAACCTCAGAAAACTCAGGATCAAAGGAGAATTTTCTTAGTTAGAGCCCCAGTCTTGTCACCCCTTAACTGGGGTGACACTCCTCCAGGCCTAAGCTCCCCTACCAGGGTAATGAGTGGCTGGCTTAGGTGCTGTCACAGGGCGCTGTCACCAGAGTGGGCAAGGCCAAGCTGGGTCAGACCCAGTGTGCTGAGGCTGCTTCCAGGGTCAGGTCAGGGCTCCAGGCTGGTAGAAGAAGCCCTAGGAGAAGTCACTTCTGAGTCCAGGCATCAGAACTGCACCTCCCTGTGAGGCAGACCTTGGGCTGTCTTGCCTGGCATACAGGCACAGATGTCCCCCCCCGCCCCCCCAAACCTGCAAATATCTCCCTGGATGTGGTCCTGGCACCTCTGACCCAATATGCATTTTCAGCTGAACTTCTTAGAACATTACCTTCTGCCTGTTGGGGGCCCGGGATGCCCCAAGCTGAGTTCATGCCAAATTGCACTCAGTTTCTGCCCTCCAGCCCAACCTATTCCCTTCCTCCATCATTAGAATCAGGAGTGGCCTCTCCCGATTCTCCACATCCAGCCTCTCACCTGGAGCTGGCGGTCCCTCAGCATCCCTCAGGTGCCTCTGCCTCTCCTCACCATCCCTGGAACTGCTCTGTTCAGCCATCCATAGGATCTCTCACCTGGTTACAATGAAACCCTTCTGCCTCCAGTCTGGACCCTACCAACCCGCTCTGGACCCACACACAACCAGGAATACCACTGGAAAACGCCAGTCTGACCTCTCTGTGCATCTCTTTAAGTTGTTCAGTGTCCATTTATAAAGTACACATTAGTTTGAAAAGCCTCTGGGGCCTGGGCCTCCCTGTCTAGCCTCATCTGTCAGCACTACTCTGTCCCCCTCGGGTCTGGAAATACTCAGTCACCCCTACATCTTCAAATGCCATGTGGCTTGTTCCTGTGATCCCTTGGCTCAGCCCATTGAACTCCGCTCAGCTACCCAGGCCGGGCTCAGATGTCAGACACCTCCTCTGGGAAGCCAGAGCCTTTCCAGCACTTCCCAGCCTTTCCCATGATGGATCAGAAAGCTTTGGATGGTTCTGACTCCCTGGATGAGTTCTTTTAGAACAGAGATCTTCCTTATTCACTTTCACTTCATAGTTAGAGGCACAGAGGGTGTGAGACAGTGGCGGGATCGAGAGGAGGAGAGGACAGAGTAAACTAAGCAAAACAACAAACCCATGCACCCATCTTTCATTCTTTTGGCAAATACCCACTGTGTTCCCATAAGGCACTAAGAACACAAATATCCACCTCAAGTGACAGGCACTGACTCAGCATTCCCAGTGGACTTTGGGGTGTGCATATGTGTATGCTGCTCACATGTGTGCAAGCCCCTCTCTCTGCAAGGGCCTGCTGCCGGGCACCTGTCCTCCCTGGGGCCTGGTGCTTTTAGCCTCTGGCCCTGGATCTTGTTGCAGCCCGAAATAAGGCTGTGAGCCACGAGAGGCAAGAAGGATTCTCGTCAGCTGAGGCCAGCCGGCTTCAGGCACGCCGGGCGGCGGCGCTGACTGCTGACCACCAACAGGGACACACCACTCAACTCCCAGCTCCCCAACTGAGGTGTTAATCTTGAGGGCCTGGCACGCTCTTCTCCCCACTGGGGTCCCATCTCTCAGGTACCAGGATCCCAGGGGTGCTCGGGAACCTGTGGGGAGTGGGCAGAGGAGATGAGCTGATCCCCCACCCCCACCAGGCAGAGACAGGGCCCTGTGCAGGCCCTGGGGGAATGGGGCCTCACAGAAGCCTGACTCCTGAGCAGGAAGGGAGGGTTCTGAGCTCTGGGTGGCTTAGTGGAGGGGGAGGTGATGGCTAGGATTCAAGGTGCGGAGAGGCAATAGCTCTGTGAGGACTCTAGGCTCTCTAGGCAGGAGGGGAAGCAGGTTTCCTAAGCAAGGCGCTTCTCAATGACTGCACATTTCTATAAGGGATGTTTATCAAGAAACAGGCCTGTGAACTCTGAAACAGAGTGGTCAGAGCATGCGCAGTTATCACACACCTCCTGCCCCAAATGCATGCAGATGTGCTTCTCTTTGCCATCTCTTTTAGAGGGTTTGGGGATGCACGGAAGCCCTTCCATGGATCCCCATGATCAAGCTGACCCCTGAAGCACAGAATTGGAGAACCTCTTGCTCACATTCACACAGGCAGTTGGGGAACTCCAGGTTTGCTCGGGATCAGGCTGCAGGTTGCTGGGGTGGTTATTGAGGACACGGATGGGGGCAGGCGGCTTCTCTGCTTCTTCTGCAGGAGCAGAAGGAAATCTGGAAGCAAAGGAAAGGAGCGCTGGGGTGGGTAACCTGCCAGGGGCTCAAAGGTTTAGGCTTCTTTCCTGGGGGTGACTTAGGGCATCTGGATTTGGGGTCTGTGGATGTTCCTGAGGGTTATAGAGATCATTTTATTTGTAAATCTCCAAGATTCCTGGAAAACAAATGAGATGCCTGGGGGTAGGGGTGGGGGGTGGGAAGCGGAGAGGAATAAAAGGGAAGAAGGAGGGGAGGATGAGGGAGTACATTACCTGAAGGATGGAGAATTGAGAAAGGATGGTTCTCTCAGTTTCTTTGGACCAGCCTGTGACCCCAAGCTCTAGGGCTAAGTACTGGGGACAGAAAAATGAGGCCCAACTTTGCAGACCTCAGGGCAATCCCAGCCTAACCCCCACACCCCTCTTCCTATGACTTAAGCCTCCAATCTCTTCCAGACACTGGTTTGAGGTCTCCTGAGTTGGTACATGGCAAGAGACTGAGGTCCTTATCTCTTGTGCCCCAACATCCCAGGCCCCTGTTCTCCCCCACATGAAGAGTCAGGCCCAGGTCCCTGAGACCATGCGCAGTGAGACAGTCTTCCCTAGCCACAGGGGAGCTGATTTGTGTGAATTCCAGCATCCCGACCACGTTTCTTCGGCAACCAAGTCCTCCTCTGGACAGAGTTTCAAGACCCTTCTTGCTTGGGCAAATTTGGGGCTTGTCCAAGACCATCCAGGGCTGGGCTTCTGTGGACTAGGAACTTGGAGAAGATCTGGGGAAGAACCTGGGCAGCTTGATTGATCAGCAGGAGTCTCTCCTCCACAGGATGATCCCCAAGGAACAGAAGGGGCCAGAAATGGCTGCTGTGGGAGACCTTGCTGGACAAGGTAAGGGAACCCAACCTGCGTGTTGCATGCGCTGCATCTTTTGTCAGTCCCAGACTGCAGCTACTTGAGCCTGCTAACCCCAAGTGTGGGCAAACAGGTATGAGTTCCAGGTCCCACGAGGAGCCTCTGGAATCTGCCTTCTAGGCTGGGGAGCTTCAGATGTATGGTTGAGGGAGAGCATCATGCTCTAATGTCCACACACCCAGGAACTGAGGTTCATGGCCCGAGACTGGCCAAGGCCCAGCAGAGTCCTTAGCTCAGCCGCATTTGGAGGTGAGGGCTCTGTGCCCAGCTCCAGTCCTCACTATGGCTCCCTGCTCCTCCAGCACTAACTCTTGCTCTTTGTGACCGTGGCTCCTGACTTGAGACAAAGGATGTGGGGACAGTGGGATGGGGGCAAAAGCAGGCTACCCAATCTGACTCGACCCTTTTCGCTTAAAAACTAAGTCATCAGGGCTCTCCCTGGTGGCACAATGGGTTAAAGCACCGCTTTATGAAGGTCCTTGAAGCCACTGTAACACGAGTTCCATCCTGGCCCTGGAGGTGACCACATGGCGTGGCAGACCTCTCCTGTCTCCCCGCTGCCCCCCTCAGCAGTGTACTTCGTCGATCTGCCTGTTCTGCTCCCCGCTCTGTCTCTGGTGAATCCTCTCACCCACCACAGTTCTGGCCTGTATCCCAGTTCTGTGAGCATAAATAAATAAATCTTTAAAAAAAAATCAAACCAAAACTAAGTCATTAAAAATACATGCTTATCAACTATTTAAGACCTCTCCCGGAACTCTTGGCCTCACATTAGAAATCTGCTTATTTGACCCATTTTAGAGCAATATAATTATTTTTAAAACGACTTCAAATAAGTCTCTCTCAAACGTCAGTGAGAACCACAGCGAAGTGACCTGTTGGATCAAAATACAGGTTCCCAGCATCTCCCCCAGGGGTTCTGACCCAACCGGCAGGGTGGCAGGCACACACTCGATTTAGAACTTCCCATATGATCCTGATGCAGGTAGACAGCGACCCAGACCCACAGCAGAGGCCACTGCCATGCTTTGCCTCCATGGCTCTGAGAAGTGTTTAAACAAGCTATGTGACTGCCTGCGTGGGTCATCCTGTGGCCTCTTTTGTGTGTTCTGGACTCCTCCTGTTGATGGCAAGCATCTTTGTTTGTTCCATGAATTTTTGGGTTGAGATATTCAAACGAGGAGATGTTCTAACAAGACAGGCAAGGTATTCTTTAGTCTAGGGAATTAATTCATTTCAGACCCCCAAAAGCAGACACACACCATTTACCCCAGACTGGAGATGTGGGACTTGTGGATCATTTTACAGTGTTGATGAACCACTTCAGAACTAAGTTCCCCACCGAAAGACAGCCTTTGTGAAGTCACAATAAAGCTCTGCTATGGTATCAGATGCTGGGCCAGTGCTTTTCCTTCGTGTTACACAACCCTCACAACATCTCCACACGTTAGATGTCATTATCCCATTTTGCACATTTTGCTCAGAGAAGCTAGATGCTCACACATCTGGCAAGAAGTGAAGCTGCAGTTGGACTCCAGAGCTCTTGGTTTCCAGAGAGACTTCTTTGCTAGAGTGGTTCCACAAATTATATACCCATTTGCTAAAATATTCAACCGAGACATACATGAGTGACTGAAAGTAAGAGTTCCTCATAATGGAACCATCTGGAGATAATCACCGTTAACATATTTGTGTAAACCTTCTGTTCATGTGTTTACATAATTATATAAATGCATACACACGTGGGCTACGTGCCCTTTGGCTGTTTGTTTTTTTTTTTTTTTTTTTTTTTTTTTTTTATTTAGCAGTAGATATGACATCTTTCTATCCTGGTATGGTTTATCTCACTCCCCAACCCCCATCACCCTTGCTCCCCCAACATAGGGAATATAATAATTATGTGCACTTCCTCTTAATGGTCACAATGCTGTAGGGTACTCCTCTCAATATTGTATTGTCAGATTTTCCCAGCAGCTAAAAGTCAAGTTTTAGGTTCACCTTCTTTAAAAGTGGGCAAACACTTGGCCTTCCCTGGTGGTGCAGCGGGTTAAAGCACAGCACTAAGAAGCTAAAGCCACTTCAGCATGAGTTCAATCCCTGCCCCGGAGGTGACCGCATGGCGTGGCAGACCTCTCCTGGCCCGCCCGCTGCTCCCCTCAGCAGTGTACTTCATTGATCTGCCTGTTCTGCTCCCCACTCTGTCTCTGGTGAATCCTCTCACCGCCCCTGCACCTCTGGCCTGTACCCCAGTTCTGTATGCACAAATAAATAAATCTTAAAAAAAAAAAAAAGTGGGCAAACAACCCCCTTACATTGGCACCTGTAGGAGTAGACCAAGTGATTGAGGAGGAGCAGGGCAGGTCAGGACAGGGTGCTAAACTAGGCTGTGGGGGCTGTGGTATCCCAGGCAGTTTCTGATACCATGACAGGGTAGGAGGGGGCTGCAGGGTGGGCCTGTGAATAGCCGCAAGGAGTTCTTCCTCCCAGAACAAGGGGCACTTCTATTTTTCTGGCTGCACTCTGCAGAAGGGGGTGGTGATGAATTCTTCACCCCTAAGAGGTGTCTGGGCAGCCCCATCACCAGGCCTCCAGGTTTCACAGAAACCCCACTGGAGAAAACATCTTGTGTATACCTTTGGGTATATTTATGCAACACGCTCCTACCCCCATCCCAAAGATAAATGTCTAGAAATAGAATTGATTAGTAAAACAGACTTTTTTTTTAAATACATTTTTTTAAAAAATAATATCAAACATAGCTTATCTGGGTAGTATTTGAAGATATGATGCCAGGGGACTTTATGTTATATATTTAGGTAAAAATAGCCTTTGCTATTTTTAAATATGCAGTACAAGTTCTTGTTAAAAAAAAACCCTGCAAGTAGTCCCCTTCTTCCCCCATCCCATAAGAATCCACACTAATATTTGCTACCATATCTCCTTGCAGATTTTCTTAACAATTTATTTATTTATGCATACAGAACTGCGGTACAGGCGAGAGGTGCAGGGGTGGTGAGAGGTTTCACTAGAGACAGAGTGGGGAGCAGAACAGGCCGACTGGTGATGCACACTGCTGAGGGGAGCAGCGGGCAGGTCAGGAGAGGTCTGCCGCACCATGTGGGTCACCTCCGGGGCAGGGATCGAACTCATGCAGAAGTGGCTTTAGCTTCTTAGTGCTGTGCTTTAACCCGCTGCGCCACCAGGGAGGGCCTCCTTGCAGATTTTTTTAATGAAAGTATAAGTATATATTCCTAAAGCTATGTATCCTGTTGTTTATATAAATTTATTTAGTTAGTTTTAACTGAGGTAATATTGGGGTACCCCCATTTAGCTATTACCACAACAGTGCACCCACCACTCATGCACACATACTCCAGCACCACAGTCCCTCATGTTTCTTTCCGCCTTGTTCTTCCTCCTTACTCTCTTAGCCCCAACGTGAAAAAGCATAAGGACAGCATGACACCAGTTTCAGGTGCGTGACATATTGACTCTGTATTTGTACACGTTGCACAATGATCACCCCAGTAAGTCCAGTTGACCACCTCTGCTTAGAGTTACGGTTTTTCCCCCTGTGATGAGAATGCTGAATCTAGTCTCCTAGCACGTTCAGATATGCAGTATAGACGGGGTTATGAACTGTGGCTCCATGTGCACTGTACCTCCGGGACTTATTTAATTTGTAACAGGGAGTTCGCAGCTTTTGACTCCCTCACCTAACAACCACCAAGTAAATAAGCATATCCTTGTTTTTAAAATACATGAGTGGGATGTTAGGATACATATTCTTCTGAAACTTGCTCCCCCCAACCCCATCCCCACCTTTTAAACGATAGCGATTTCTTTCTTCAAAAATGTAGAAGGTGTTTTCTATATTTTCTGAAAGAATAGAAACTTTTTTTTATTTTATAACAGTTTATTTTTACATCATTTTGTACTTTTTTTTTCATCTCAATTGTAATCCTTGCGGGTTTCCCATCACCAAATCACCCGTGTGCCATCACCATAGTCCCGTGCACTTCCCTCCCCACCCCCCCCGTTTTTGATCCCCACTCCACTCCCACAAAATGTCTCTGGTATATGGTTGTTCAAGAATAATAAAAACTTTTTTAAAATCCCTGTTGAGGGCCCTCCCTGGTGGCGCAGCGGGTTAAAGCACTGCACTAAGAAGCTTAAGCCACTTCCACATGAGTTCGATCCCCGCCTGCCCCGGAGGAGATCCACATGGCGAGGCAGACCTCTCCTGCCTGCCCGCTGCTCCCCTCAGCAGTGTACTTCGTCGATCTGCCTGTTCTGCTCCCCACTCTGTTTCTGGTGAATCCTCTCACCCTCCACATCTCTGGCCTGTACCCCAGTTCTGTATGAATAAATAAATAAATCTTTAAAAAAAAAATCCCTGTTGAGGACTCCACTGAATAGAATGAATTGCAGCACCTGAATGGCCGAGCCTGGTCCACCCGCTGCCCCTACTAGTCTCTGAGAGACTTGGACAACCTCTCTCTACTCTCCCCCAGCCTCCAACAAACCTCCCCCTTCTTCACTAATGACCTTGCTTCTAATATCACTGAAGAAAGTGAAGTAACTAAGAGACCACAGTTGCGAGGCCCTCCTCCACAACTGTCCACTCACTTGCTCTGTGCCATAATCTGAGTTTTCCTGCCAGACTTGGTCCATGAGATCTACTTGCACCTGTCTGAGCCAACCCAGACACACACCCCTGGCGCCTGCTTCAGGACACTCTTACAGGAAGATTTTCCTCTCACTATTGCATGGTCAGATTTTCCCAGCAGCTAAAAGAGAAGCTCTAGTTTCACCTTCTTTAAAAATGAGAAAAACAAGCAACCCCCTCTTGATCACACATCTGCCTCCAGTTTTTTCTCTCTCTCACTGTGTCTCTTTCTTTTAAACATGTTATTATGCCAATTTCCAGACACACACATATAAAAATAGAGTGCAGGTCTCCAAGGCCCCCCTTTAATTACTGGAGTCCAAAGTAAATCCCAAAGAGTATGTCATTTCACCCCCCAAGTACTTCACAAGGGAGCAAAAGTAATAAAAAGAACATTTATTCACATACCACAAAGACAAAATTAGCAAGAATGATTTAAAGCCATCTAATAATCCATCCCATAGTCAACTTTCTCCAGTTTTCCAGTTTGTTTTAATGAGAATCCAAATAAGGGTTGTTGTTTTTGTTTGGTCGTTTTGTCTAATAATCTCCTTTAATATAAAACACTCCTCCTTTCCCATGTCATTCACTCATTAAAACCAACAAATAAAAAACCCCGGGCCTGTTGCCTGTAGAATGTCCCACATCCTAAATTTGGTTTGTCGCTTCCCTGTTGGCTGCTTAAACATGTCCTTCTGTCCATTTTCTCTTGAACCCTTTCCAGTAGGGCTTTCGCACCCAGATGTTCCATAGAAACTGCCTTTGTAGGTTTACCAGTAACCCCGAGTTACTAAATATACAGTCACTTTCCAGTTGCCCCACCTGACTTAACGGATCAGAGCACAGGGCTCCATTGTTAAGTGTCTTCTCAGAAATACCTTCATCTTTTAAGCTTTAGGACAGCACACTCCTCAGGTTTTTTCCTACCTCTCTGAGTGCTCCTTCCCAGGCTCTAGGTCTGGGTTCTACACTCCTTTTGTGTTAGTCCTTTGGTCTCGGGGCTCAGCCTGTTCTCATATCCTGGGAGATTTCAGTTAGCCTCTTAGCTTAAAATTCCACTTATAGAGCAGAATATGACCCTATGTGTACCCAATTGTAGAGATGGACACCTTAGTCATGCTGCCCATTCGTGTCCCTCCCCTACCAGTGTCCTCACCATTCTGTCACTCCTTTCCTCCAAAGGCCTCATGTTGGACTAGTGTAAAAGGATGCCACTTTGCTATTGGGGAAGCACAAAGCAGGACTGGGCCCCAAACTACTAGGGACATTTGTCAGCCCTGAAAATCCTCTAAATGACTCTAATAACTAGACCTAACCATGAGAAAAGAAATAAGTGGGGGCCCTCCTTGGTGGCGCAGCAGGTTAAAGCACAGCACTAAGAAGCTAAGGCCACTTCTGCATGAGTTCGATCCCCGCCTGCCCCGGAGGTGACCACATGGTGAGGTAGACCTCTCCTGACCTGCCTGCTGCTCCCCTCAGCAGTGTACTTCGTCGATCTACCTGTTCTGCTCCCCACTCTGTCTCTGGTGAATCCTCTCACCCTCTGCATCTCTGGCTTGTACTCCAGTTCTGTATGAATAAATAAATAAATCTTAAAAAAAAAGATGTAGTACATATACATAATAGAATATTACTCAGCAACCAAAAAAAAAAAAAAAAAAACATATACATAATAGAATATTACTCAGCAACCAAAAAAAAAAAAAAAACACATGCCTTTTGCAGCAATATGGATAGAGCTGGAAAAGATCATGCTTAGTGAGATAAGCCAGAAAGAAAAGGAAAAATGCCAGATAGTTTCACTCATAGCAGGAGTATAAAGGGCCAGGGGAGAAAATAATAATAATAATGAACAGCTATATACCAGAGACATTTTATGGGGGTGGAGTGGGGAATGGGATCAAAAATGGGGGGGGGGAAGAGGAGGAAAGTGTACTGGACTATGGTGATGGCACATGGGTGATTTGGTGATGGGAAACCCAAGGGGATTGCAACTGAGATGGAAAAATGCACAAAATGATGTAAAAATAAACTATAATATTATTTAAAAAAATTTAAAAATCTCACATATGTTTATGTAATCAGTGAAAAATATGGAAGGATATACACTAAGGTGTGAGCTGTGGCAAGCTCTGAGTGGTAGAAATGGTGATTTCTTCTTTTTTCCCTAAGTGAAATTGGCTAGCTATTAATATCCTGGTAGGAGTCATATTGTTAATGATCTCTCTATTTTCTTTCTTCACCTATGTTATTTTTATAATTAGTAAAAGGCTATTTAAAAGCTAAAAGAACAGTACAGTAAAAAGAAAAGAAAAAAGCAAAAGAACTCAGGACTCAGACCCAGGCTTCTAAAGGGTGTTAGAACAGCTTCCCTGTCCTGCCTGTGGCTCAGCTTCCCTTTCTCTCTCTAGACAGACAGACTCATCTATGTATGTCTAAGCTCATAACCATGCTTACCATTTTTTTTTAAAAAGACTTATTTATGCATATAGAACTGGGGTACAGGGCTGGTGAGAGGATTCACCAGAGACAAAGTAAGGAGCAGAACAGGCAGGTCAAAGAAGTACACTGCTGAGGGGAGCAGTGGGCAAGACAGGAGAGATCTGCGGTACCATGTGAGTCTCCAGGGCCGGGGATCGAGCTCACACTGAAGCTGCTGCAGCTAGCTTGCAGTGCTGCGTCCTAACCCGCTGAGTCACACCAGGGAGGGCCCAACCATGCTTACCTTTAAAAGACATCTAGAATCTGATCATTATCTCACTGTGCCACTGTGGCTAAACAGCTACATGGGGAAATTGATAGAATAAATACAAATGGTCAAAGACTCTCTGAAATGGTGCTCAGTTTCATTGCCAAGCTCATGCAAATTAATCTTGGAGCTATTACTTTTGCCCATGAGGCAAGCAAAGATTTCACAGAGTGATGACACCCCACATCAGCAAAGGGGAAGCCCGGGCCTTCTCACAGGGCTCATCCACATTGCACCTAACTGGGAGGGCTTCCCTCAGCATGGCCCAAGTCGAGAGGGCTCTGGAGTAACCGCCTGCTCTGGCCTCTCCGCGGTAGTCCCCCTGCTGGACTTGGGCAAGAAGCTGAGTGTGCCGCAGGACTTGATGATGGAGGAGCTCTCTCTACGCAACAGCAGCAACCCGGGATCCCTCCTCTTCCAGAGGAGACAGCGCCGTGTGCAGAAATTCACCTTTGAGCTTGCATCCAGCCAACAGTCAGTAAGTCCCCATGACCTTTGGGATTTACTTTGGGCTTCAGGTATAGAAGGAGGGCCTTGGAGACTTGTACTCTTTATTTTTGTATGTGTGTGTTTCTGGAAATTGGCAGGTTGCGGTTCAGGGGGGAAACTGAGGCAAGAGGGCCTGTGCTGAGATCAAAGTCAAACAGTGAGTCAGGTGAGGCCCTCTGGCCCCTGGGGTGTCCCTCAAGTTGGAGCTGGGAAAGGCTGTGATGCTTCATGAGATTGAGCCCCTCCTTCCTCTGTGATCCTAGAAGGTTGTTTGGCCTTTCAGCCATCTCTCCCCAGATACAAACTCTAAGGCGGACAGGAAGAGCTGTAGACAGCAGGGCTCCTAGAGGAAGTGCTGGAGGGAAGTCACGTGCTCTGGCTGACTGCAGCAAGTAGGATTTAGATTAGACTTGAGCTAAAGGAGAAAATGCTGAATGCTTTTTTCTCTTCTTCACACTGGAAGAAGTAAAAGGGCATGGATCAGCAGGCTGGCAGAGAAAGAAGGCAAGAAAGGTATACCTTGGGGTTTCAGGCACTTTCAGCTGCTTCCAAATGAGGAACATTTTCTTCCATACCTCACTCCATTTCCAAATTAGACAGGAGCAATTGAGAGGGAGCCCTGTAGCAACATAATAAAGACAGAGCACCCACCTTTGCTATGTAGCTAAGACAATGTTAGCAAAGCCCTTTTTGTGTATCTCATTCAATGTTCATAGAGTCCTAAGAGTTTGATCATCATTATCATTCTGATTTTATAGAGAGGAAACTGAGGCTCAGGGAGGGTAAGTATCTGCCCCGGGCCTGTGTCATAATAGCAACTAACTACAGAGCCTTTCTCTGCCCAGGTCACCAGGTTTAGCGCTCTACACTATTAACTCATTCCCGCCTTCCCGCCAACATCACCCCCCGATAGAATTTTTGCCTTCCACCCTCCCCCACCCACTTTTTTTTTTTTTTTTTTTTTTTTTTTGGTGCCTGGAGGTCCCAGGTCCCATGCCCCACTGAGCCTCGGAGATTGAATTGCCTCCTCCACCCCACCAGATCACATCCGGGAGTGGCAGTGGGAGCCAGAGTGCCCAGGGGATGGTGGTGACCGGCGCAGAGCAGATGGGGACGGTGAGTGTGGAGGCGGCCTGGATCGGAGCAGAAGCTCTTGGGGTGGAACTGGGCAGCTGGGACGTGGTTTCTGAGCGTGCCACTCCACACAGGCTGCCAATGGACCCAAGGGGCAGAACTGCCCCTCAGATGGCCACATCCTCCAGGCTTCCCCCGGGGGCCCTGAGCTTGACCCATCAACAGCAGCCGGAGCGGAGTGTGCCCCCAGCTCCAGCACTCTGGCACCAGGTGAGCGGGATTCCCTGGACTCAGGACCATGGCTAGGGGCTTGGGGGGTGTGGGCTCAGTGCATGCCCCCCTTCGTCCCCCCCCCCCCCCCACACACACGCATCCGCAGAGAAGTGCCCTTATGAGGCCAACGTCTCACAGCTGGCCAGAATTTAGCAAGAATTGATTCTGTACTCGGAACAGCAAGTCCCTGTACCCATCCTCCTTGCTTCTTGTTTCTTTGCTGAAGCAACTGTGGAGTCCCCGACCACGGCGCCACACTCACTTTTCCCAGCTTGGGTCTTGGCTCCCCAAGGATGTCTGCCAGCTGGACTTGAGAGTAAGCAGAAGTTGGGCCCCAGGAATCCCTCCGACCACCTCCACGCGCCCCGCTCTGTGCTTAGGCTATGCAGAACCCCTGAAGAGCGTCCCACCGGAGAAGTTCAACCACACGGCCATCCCCAAGGGCTACCGCTGCCCGTGGCAGGAGTCGGGCAGCTCCTGGGACCGCCAGAGTCTTGGCCGAAGTCTCACACCCCGCCTGGCGGATTATCGAAATTTCAACAAGTAAGGTGACGGCTTGGGAGATGTGGGAAAGGCCAGGGAGCAAGGCTCGCGCGGCAGACCCTGCGTTCCCTGAGCTGTGTTTGAAATCCACTCTGCACAGTAATGCTCAGGAAATACCCAGGGAAGGAATGGGTGGAAGTACCCCAGTTTTGCTGCACCTTCCGCATAACAGGGTGGGGCAGGTGCTACAATTTCCCCCTTTCTCCAGATGAAGAACAAGGGTGGTGAACTCCAACACCTGCCCAGCAAGCGCAGCGCAGCAGGGTTGACACCCAAGTCCCTGTCTGTCTGACCCAGAGGCAGGTCCTTATTCTCCATCACTGCTGTGTCTCTTTAATGGATGGAAAGTTGCTTATCTTTCCTTACCCCCCAACCCCCACCTCTTACTAGGCCTAGGACAGCTGGCCCTTTTCCTTATTTTCAACACTGGTCTGGAAGGAGCCTCTGAACTAGTTTTGCGGTTGTACCAAAATGGGGTGTGGCTGAGAAATGCTGGACACCAGGGAAGAGAGCCACAGAGGAGTGATTTACACTGTTTGGAGCATGAGGCCTCAGTGTGCGCTGAGATGCGGACTTCACGCTTGGCTGTGTGACCTTGGCAAGTGACTTAACCTTTCTGAGCCTCTGTTTCCCCATCTGTAAAGTACCTACTTCCTCAGATTGCTATGAGGATGACATGAGCAGCTATTGTCAAATTTTCTGACAATAAAATAAATGTGATTATTATTGTGATTATTGCAGGCCAAGATGATGGTTGGAAGGCTAACAGGAGAGAACTTGGGAGGGATAAATTTAATACTCCCCTGTGGACTTGAAACAAATCATAGGAGTCAAGACAGGAGTTTGGCACCAAAGGAAGGCCTCAGACTACTAGGGAGGCATTTCAACTGCCATTGGCTTCCTTGTCTGATGCTATTTCTGAAAAATGCTCCTCTGGCTTGGGCTGTAGTCAGTGAGAAAGCAGAGGATCCACAGAAAGGAGGCCTCAGTCCAGCTCTTTTGGCATCTGCTCAGACCACACAAGGAGCCCGTGCCTGTCTGACAGAGAGACACATGGGTGCCAGGGCCTGCCGTGCTTAGAGACCAGACCTTCTGGGGGAGTGCTGGGAATTAAAGATGACTGGCCTTGACAAGAGACTTTCAGAAGGGATGGAAAGTTGTGATTTTCCTCAAATAGCTGAGGAGGGCCTTGATGAGAGGATCTCCATGTGAGCCACGGACCATTGGCAGGTATTCTGGGGTTCTCACCAGGCAAGACCATTCTCTCTCCTCCTAGGACCCTTAGACCCTGCCTAAACTCTCAGCAGATATTCAGTCATGATAGCCAGCTTCCAGGCTGACCAGCTCAGGTCTCAGCCCCCACCCATGTCCTCCCTCAGGTATCACAGGTCAAGGCCATCCCTCCAAGAAGAGAGAATTAGGGACTCTGAGCCCAGGTCCTTTCTGGGACAGGAAGGGCCACTGAGGTTTAGTGAGTGTTGATGGTCAAGATGTGCTGACAATCCAGGACTCTGGATTCTCTGGATTCCTTGTCAAGGGCCCACCTGTGAGGCTGACTGGGCCTGGAAACTGCCCAGTAGGTTCTCATGGGGCCTGTCTGTGGCTGCCACTGCTGGGGTGGTCCAGGCAGAAATGGTTTTCTGGCTGGAACACAGGCCCTGGTCCAGGGCTTGCCTTTCCACCCTGGAGCAATCACTCCCCTCTTCCTACTGGTCACTGGCTGAGGGGAAGAAAGTATATGAACAATGCTTTTTATTCTTAAAATTAAAAAATAGTTTTAAGGCTTGTATTTAAAAAATCAAATAGCCATATAACTACAAGTAAGAGTAGCATCACTTTGCTGACCATCCTCCAGTCCCAGTTCCCTTCCCAAAGGCATCACTCCTCCCAGGTTGTGTGTACCTTTTCAGAACAATTTCTGGGAGTGGCTACATACATTTAGGGAGCACAACATTGTTATGTGTGTATACTTTAATACTTTGCATCTCTGTTGATAACTTGCTTGCTTCATTCACTCAATACTATGCATTTGAAATCTATCCTACTTAATACATATGGAGCTTTTCATTCCATTTTTGCTCCTGTATAATATTCCACCACATGAGTAGACCTCTGTCTTTTTCATTCCTCTGTTGGTAGCCATTGGGTTGTTTCTAGCTTGTAACTAATGCATTGCTCATGTCTGCTTCCTCATACACACATGCTTGTGCTTCCCTAGACTGTGTGCTTACAGGCAGGGCTGCTGGCTGACAGTTTACACATTTTCAGGTTAAAAGATGCTGCCAGGGGGGCCCTCCCTGGTGGCACAGTGGGTTAAAGCACTGTACTAAGAATCAAAAGCTACTTCCGCATGAGTTCGATCCCCGCCTGCCCCGGAGGAGATCCACATGTTGTGGCAGACCTCTCCTGACCCGCCCGCTGCTCTCCTCAGCAGTGTACTTCATTGATCTGCCTGTTCTGCTCTCCACTCTGTCTCTGGTGAAGCCTCTCACCCTCCGCATCTCTGGCCTGTACCCCAGTTCTGTATGAATAAATAAATAAATCTTAAAAAAAAAAAAGATGCTGCCAGGGCCCTCCCTGGTGGCACAGTGGGTTAGGATGTAGCACTGCAAGCTAGTGCAGCAGCTTCAGTGCGAGTTCAATCCCGCCCCAGAGGTGACCCACAAGGTGCGGCAGACCTCTCTTGACCTGCCTGCTGCTCCCCTCAGCAGTGTACTTCATCAATCTGCCTGTTCTGTTTCCCACTCTGTCTCTGGTGAAGTCTCTCACACCCCCGCACCTCTGGCTTATCCCCCATTTCTGTATGAATAAATAAGTAATCTTTTTTTTTTTTTAAAGATGCTGCCAAAATATCCTCTAAGGTAGCAGCACCAATTACCCTTCCACATAAGTGAAATTATGCCTCTACCACCTTACCAACTCTACCCCATTCTCAGGTTATTTCTTCTTGTGAGTCTTGTGGGTGAGAAATGGCATGTCTCTATTGTAATCTGCATTTCTCTAAGTCTCAGTGTTCTTTCAAATCTCCCCTTCTGTTTCAAGTTTATGGGTATACTGTTCTAAGGTTGATGACAAGAGGAGGGAAAAAACATTTTCCCAGTCTACTCTTCTGGAGCTTAGCTAAGAGGAATCTTGAGTTTTGCTAAGAGAGCCAGTGCTAGCTCAGAAAATATCACTTCTGTTCCTAAGCAATAAATTATCCTTACTGGAGGCAGGCTGGGAGGAAGAAACCTGTTCACAATAGTTCAGAATTTTATTGTGTAAAAGGGGAAACTGAGGCCCACAGAGAGGCACTCCACATGGTGACCTCCATGCCAGTGCCCTCCTCTCTACTGCTCTTCTCTCCCCAGGACACCGATGCCCTTTGGAGGACCTCTGGCAGGAGAGGCCATGCCCAAAACAGGGACCCTCTTCTTGCAGGAGTTCACCAGTGGCTTGGAACTCCTCCGCCTCAGACCCAACTTCAACAGAGTGGCCCAGGGCTGGGTCCGCAACCTTCCGGAGTCTGAGGAGCTGTAGCTCCTACCTGAATCTTGGATTCACTGATCCCGGAGTCTGGGTAACATCAGAAGCCAAAACGTGTGGATGTCACCTCACAGTTTAAGAAGGGCTTTCAGGCACCAAGTCATTGCAAATGGCCTCAATGGTTACCATGTTAAGTAGTTCCCAAGTGTGGGTGTGCTGCGGAATTACCTGGGACATTATTCCTAGCACAGATTTCTAGGCTGGCCCAGAGGGGCTAAGGGTTCTCTATGCCTAGTCCATAGGCCCAGGTGATTCCACTGTAATTTGTTGCTGGTTTGTATCTTTAGGAATTTAAACCACATTGCCCCTGCTGTATTTTCTGCTCCATGATTCCAGCTTATACTCTCCCAGTGATGGCAAGCTTACTAGCAGCCATCTACCTATGAATAATGCTGATGATTAGAAAGGTTTTCCTCTTATTGAGATGAAGTTGAATCTGTTCTTGCTGTAAACATTTACCGGTACTTACTTTATACTAGATGCTGTGCCAGCCCCAGAGAGTATGTGGCGAGTAAGACCAGGCCCTCGTCTGGATGAGGTAGACAGCAGTAAATCACTGCATTTTCCCTGTATGCTCACTGACCTGAAGAACAAAGCACCAAGAGGCAGTGAGCTAAGGCTTTAACCCAGGATATGGGGTAGAGATCTTGGAAGCTTCACAGAGGCTTTGAGCAGGAAGAGGGGCTGATGTGGAGGGTGGATCAGCATGTGCAAAGACACAGAGTTGTCCTAGGTGTGGGGTGTTGTGAGGAGGGTTTTGTTAGAAGAACTGGTGAGGGCCAGAGTGGGTTAGGCTTTGCTAAGGAAATGGGTAGTGAATTTAAGCCAGGGAATGTTGGTCTCTCTGCTTGTTTTTATGTGGAACAGATTGGAGAGAAGGCAGAACTCCTACACAAATTAGGCCGGAACTAGGGTGGTGACCATGGGACTGGAAAGAAAGGCACTTCATTGAGCACCTTACAGGACAGGTTACAAAGTAGGGGCTTGCAAGGAGTCCTTTCTACCTCTCCCTACTCTCCATCGTAAGTGGGTGCTGGGGTAGGTCCATTCTAGTCCCTACCACAAGTAGTTTGGTGCTATACTCTGGTCATTAGGAAAAGGAGAAAAAAGAATGTCTCCTAGTTCAAGTGGTGATGGTGTTGATGGTGATGGTGGTGATGATGAAGATGGTGATGGTGATAAATATGATGGTGATAGCTTTTTATTGGGAACCCCTATGCTTGGACTGATCTTAGTTGTTCTACATATACTGGTTCTAATTTCCAGTACAACACCAAGAGGAAAGTATAGCTCTATGAGCAGTGGATATACAGGCTCAGAAGGGGGATATGGCTTGTCCAGGAAAGAGCCAAATGGGAATCTGTCTACTTCCATTGGGCATCTCTCTCACTGCACTGGAGGCCAACCAAGCCAGTTCCTACACACTATGGAACCAAGTCATGGTATCCTGCTTAGAGTTTAGATGTTAAGAAGTCAGGCAGGGTGTCAACCTGGATGGATGACTTCTAAATACCACTGCTAACCATGGAAACTAAGCAAGTCACTTCTCACCTGTGGGCCTCTCTTTCCTCACCTATAAGGCGAAGACAAAATGTCCCTGAATAGGGTTGTCTGCACGGTAACAGCACATATACAGTAAGTGCTTGGTCATGATTAACCGCAACAACTGCCTTTGACTGGAAAAGATGATCGCTCAGTGGATGAAGCTTGATAGCAAACTGTCAGCTGTCACTGGAACAGAAAAGTCTGAAGGAAAGTCCATGGTCTCTGCAAGGCTCCCTTCAGACATGAATCACCCTCTTCCTCATGTCCTGTCTGTCTCCTCCAGGGGTGATGAGAGGGTCAGGAATCCCAGGGCACAAGGAATTGCAGTTGTCTTTTCATTTTGCTCTGGCTTCACTGTGCCCCACGCAGTCTTAAGGGTTGTGACTATTAACATTGTTTGCAGTTGATATGTAGTCTTTCATTTGGAGGCTATCCTTTAAAGTCATGTTTCCCTGGTCTGCAAACTCACCACTAAAGTGAGTGAAAAAAGTGTCTGGAAAGGAAGGGAAAACTCGGACTGTCCTAAGATGGCCTTGCTTTGCTCTGGAGGGTAATAGCATCCACCAGGTACAGGAGAGAGCCTGGGATGTGACTTTTGCTGATGTTGTTAAAAAACATTTACTGCAAAATTTAAAAAATAATAAACGAAGTAAAATCTGAAATTGTCTACATAGCTCCTTCCATATAACCTTTCTGCATTCAGCCTATCCCACATGCCAGAGTAACCATTAACAATATCTTAGTCCTTCTAGACTAATGAAGTTTAGTTAATAGTATTGTACCAATGTTAGTTTATTAGTTTTGACAAAATACACTATGGCCATGTGAGATGTGAACACTGAATCAGTAGTGATTGGGCAAGAGGTTGGAATACCACCTCCAAGAGGTTGGAATTCAAGCAAGAGGTTGAAATGGCCACCAATTTCCTGGCCTTTAAGACAAGAGACCTGCCCAAAAGGCCAAAAACCAAAACCAAGAGCTATCGCAACACAACACCCACACAGTGGGGGGCTATGGGGAATAGCTTAACAAAAGACAGTGCCTGATCACTGTGGGTGCTCATGCATGTGCACAAATTCATCAGACCTCAAGCTCTGAGAACTATTGGGTTTATTTTACAAACAAGGGAGACAAAAATCTTAGTGTAGCCACTAGTGGCCAGCTATCTCATCCAGATAGTGTCCAACAGAATTACAAGCAGAATACCAGTCACTAGGCTGCTGGACAGACAGCACTGGTTAGTAGTGATGGTCACTACTAGTCCCCTGAGGCACTTAGAGACACCAACTGTTAACAGCTCTTTGTGACACCAGCCCTGGGGCCTTCCGTGCTCCTTTCAGGTGATGTCAGAGACTGAGTGTCTCTAACAAAGCTCTTCGGCTTCTCTTTCTTCCTCAGAGGTCGGCTGCTAGATGTTTCTTTTTTTCTTTTCTCAGCCTCTCCTTTCTTCAGAGGCCAGGAATGAAGTCTTTCCCTTCTTTCTTCAGAGGCTGGAACAGTCTGTTCCTTTTCCCCTCTGACCCTGGGTTATATTCTTTTTCAGGGTGCCATACCCACAAGTCTGATTGGACCATTTTGTAATCCTGCGGTTGATTGGACCATTTAACAACAATCAGCTCATAGCTCACACCTGATTGGTCTATTCCACAATCCAGGAAGTAAAAGGTTCATTGCTGGGTTCTGAGAAGCAACTGCCACAACTGATTTGTGGTGGAGTAGTAGGGTGAGGAAACACCCTGCTCCTGCCAGCTCCCACAGCTGAGGTGGCTCCCACTGCTCAGGCAGCTGGATTCTGGTAACAGAAACATTACAATTAAATGTAATGTGGTAGCTTGATTCTGGATTCTAGGACAGAAAATGTGGGGAGGAAGGAGAGACAGGAAGAAAGGGAATGGTGAAATCAAAATAAAGTTTTGTTGATAGTATTGTACCAATGTTAATTTCTTAGCTGTGATGAATGTACTATGGCCATGTAAGATGTCAATGTTAGGAGAAGCTGAGTGAAGAATGTACAAGCCCCCCTCCCCCGCCCTGCATTATCTTTGCAACTTTTCTGTAAATACAAATTATTCAAAAATAAAAAGTTTTAAAGTTTATGGCTGAATTGTTACTGGTCCCAGCTGCCTCAGTGGTGGGAGCTGGCAGGAACAGTGGTCAGTTGTGGCAGTTGTTTCTGAGCTCAATAACCGCCATTTTGTAATGAACCAATCAGGTCTGAGCTATGAGCTAGCTGATTGGTGTTGATTGGTCCAACCAGATGTGTGGGTGAAAAAGCCTATAATCCAGGGTCAGAGGGAGCTGAGGAGGCCCCTGAAAAAAAAGAAAAGAGGAGCACCCCGAAGAGAAGGAGAGCTCTTGAAGAAAGACCAAGAAAGGAGAAGAGGGCCCTCAAGAAGAGATGACAGAAGGAGAAAGAAGGGAAGACCCCATGCCTGGGGTCTTCTACAAAGAAGAAAGAAGAAAAGAAGCATCCAGTAGCCACCCTCTGAGGAGGGAAGAGAAGCCAGGGGACTCTATCGGAGACTGGGCCTCCACTCTTGTCTCAGACATTGCCTGAAGGGAGCACCAAAGGCCCTGGGCCTGGTGTCTCAAAGAACTACTTGTTGTTGGTATCACCCAACAACTCACAAAGAGCTGTTAACACTTGGTGTCACTCATACCGCCTTTCAGGGATGGGTGCACTGGCCAGTGCTGTCTAGCACTCCTGTGACCAGTGGTGACCATCACTGATCTATCTGGGTGAGATGGCCGACCACCTGTGGATACAGTGAACTTCTAGTTTCCCTTGTTTGTAAAATAAACCCCATGACTTGTTCTTGGAGCCTGAGGTCTCCTGCAATTGTGCACACACATGACAGTCCACTTTCAGTGACCTGGCCTCTTATTGAGCACTGCCCTTTGCAAACTGTAGCACAATAATTGCCTATTGTTTGGGTTATATTGCTATAGCCCTTGGTTTCAGTTTTTGGCTCTGAATGAATTCAGGGCTGCTCTGCAGTACTTTATTATTATTACCACCCCATAATATGATAATTTATAGCATTTTCCCCTGGGGCTATCTATCCTATCTATCTAGCAACCCTCAAGGGGGGCACCACCTGTAACTGTCTTTGGCTGCAGCCACCGGTTGCCGTGTGATCATGGTATATAATTCTTGTGATAAAATGTTGTATTAGACTTGGGCAGTATTTTGTTGAAGATTTTTGCATTAGGGATTTTGGTCTATGATTTTTTTGTTCTGTCTTTGCTATCATATTAGGCCGATGTTGGCATTGTGAAATGCATTAGGGAATACTCCTTCTTGTATTTTTTAAAAATTTGAGCAAAATTAGCATTAGGTCTTTAAGATTTGATAAAATTCATCTGCAAAAACATAATACTGGGTTTTTATTTTCTTAAAGAGTTTTTATTAATGTTTCAGTTCTTATACTTGTGATAAGTTTTTTCAACTCATCTGATTTTTACTGAGTTTATCTTGGTAGATTTGGTAGAAATGTGTCCATTGTTTCAAGGTTATTTAATTTATTGATATTTAGTTGTGCACAGTAATATGACAGTTTGAATGCTTGTACTATCTGTGGTGATTTGTCCTCTTTACTTGTGATTCTATTTGTTAGTGTTTCCCCAACTCCTCTTCTCCACCTGCCCGCCTCAGCCTCCTCTTCTTCTTTTGTTTGCCTAACTAGAGGTTTATCTGTTTTGCTTATTTTTCTCAAGTACATAGCTCTTAGATTCATTGATTTCTTTTCTTTTTTCTTTTTTTTGGTACTGGCTTTTCTATCTCTATTTCATTTATTACCACTTATTTTTATTTCTTCCTTCTACTGACTGGATTTTGGTTCTTCCTTTTTTTCAAGTTGTATTAGGTGTAATATTAAATGGTTTACTTAGGATTTCTCTTGCTTTTGAATGTAGTTCTAATTCAGTTATATCCTACCATTAAGACTGCATCCCATGGATTCTGGTAACTTATCATTATTTTCATTCTCAAGATGGTCTTTAACTTTTGTTTTGATTTCCTCTTTTGTCAAGTAGCTGTTATACAGTATGTTATTTATTCTCCATCTATTCGTATTTCCCCCCTTATAGCTGATTTCTAACTTTGTGACATTATGGTCAGGGAGAATATACTAAGTATAATTTATACCTGGTATTTAAAATATTTTATATGTATTTTTTAATAAAACTGTGCATGCCAATGGAATATTACTCAGCAATCAAGAAAGATAAACTCATGCCTTTTGCAGCAACATGGATGGAGTGGGAAGGATCATGCTCAGTGAAGTAAGCTAGAAAGAAAAAGAAAAATACCAGATGGTTTCACTCATAGCAGGAGCATGAAGGACGGGGTTGGGGGAAGGAAATAATAATGAACAACTAGATACCAAAGACATTTTTACGGGATCAAAAAGGGGGGGGGGAATGCACTGGACTCTGGTGATGGCACAAGGGTGAATTGGTGATGGGAAACCCACGGGGATTACACCTGAGATGGGAAAAGACACAAAATGATGTAAAAATAAACTATTATAATTTAAAAAAATTGTGTATGCAATGGTTTTTGGGCCAAGTGTACTGTAGATGAATGTTAGATCTATACGGTCTACCTCTTCATTTAAGACTAATTTTTCTCATTTATTCTTTGTCTTGTTGATCTGTCCATTGTTGTGAATGGGTGTTAAAATTCCCTAACATGGTTGTGTTTTTGTCATTATCTCTCTTTAGTTCTGTTACTGTCCTAGGCTTCTCATTGTCCCATCATTTGGTGACTATATATTTATCAATGTTATTTGATCTTATTGTATTAGATTTTTAATCATAATATAGCGTCCATCTCTTTCTTCTTTTATATTTCTTAACTGGAAGTCTATTTTATCAGTTATAGGTGTTCCTGATTTTTTTGTGTGTTGCCATTTGCTTGTATTACTTGCTTCCAGCCGCTAAGCCTATGAGTCTTTGTTGTTAATGTGGTTTTCTTGTAAACAGAAGGTCTGATTTTCTACTGAATGCATTCAGCCGCAGTCCATCTTTTGACTGGTGAATTCAGGCCATTTACATTTAAAGTGATTTTTTTTAAGATTTATTTATTTATGCATACAGAACTGGGGTACAGACCAGAGGTGCAGGTGCAATGAGAAGATTCACCAGAGACAGAGTGGGGAACAGAACAGGCAGAACTGATGAAGTACACTGCTGAGGAGAGCAGCGGGTGGGTCAGGAGAGGTCTGCTGCGCCATGTGGGTCACCTCCGGAGCAGGGATTGAACTCATGCTGATGTGGCTTTAGCTTCCTAGTGCTGTGCTTTAACCTGCTGTGCCACCAGGGAGGGCCCTAAAGTGATTTTTTGAGACATAAAGTATACTCATCCATTTTGTTAGGTGCTTGTTTTTTGTGTTTTGGGATTTGGCTTGCTTTATTTCTTGAGGATTTCACACTGTTTTGTTTAAGTTATATTTCTGTTGTCTTTGATTAATTTTTGCTTGATGTTTCTACTAAGATTAGTATATGGTGAGTTGATTGTAGGATAGTATGGTTTTGGTAATTTTGATGGGCCCATTGTTCATTGTTACTTCCCTCTTTTTCCATGTTAAGTGATTGAGATGTCTATTGCCTTAATACTCCTGTTCTGTTGCTCTATAGTAAATTCC